CTCTGCCTCTGCCTCTGCCTCTGCCTCTGCCTCTGCCTCTGCCTCTGCCTCTGCCTCTGCCTCTGCCTCTGCCTCTGCCTCTGCCTCTGCCTCTGCCTCATAGGTAGGGAAAGGAGTCCAAGAACACAGATACTGTGTTCTGTGATCAGAAGACAATTCCCAGCAAGAGGCAGAGAGGAAAACACACTTACTGTGTAAGCCTGGCCGCCTGGGCTGGGTCCCCTGAACCAGCATAAAGGTGAAAGGAGAGACAGCTTCACAAAATTGTCCTCTGACCTCCCCACACATACCATGGTTCTTGGAAACACACACACACACACACACACACACACACACACACACACACACACACACACACACATTTAGAAAGAAAACAACCCTGAAAGACAACTTAAATGTGTTTATTCATGGACTCAATAACAATTTTACTGTAAAACATACATTAGGAATGTTTGCGTTTAAAAATTCAGAGGTCTATGACTTCAAGAGTTCAGCATCTAGTAAAGAACATGATTTCATGCTCAGAGTCCTTGTCAAGGTCCTTTGCTCAGTCCCAGGCCATGAGCTCTGATTCTGACTTAGTTTCCCTAAATTCCCCCCCCCCCCCAAGCAGACTGACCTATCTGCTCCATGAGGGAATGATATGGGTGAATGAACTCATTCTAATGCATCCCTCCAGAGCCAAGCACATCTAGGCTGGACTCTGTCCTGTTTAGAGCCACCTACCTGTTGACCCTGCTCACCCTTCTCCTGCACCCTCAACTCTATCTTCCCCTGTCCTTCCTCTGCCACCTGCCAGTGGTGGCCATCTGCCACACTTCTAGAGAAATCCCCCAGATGAGGGCACTGTTCCTCATGGATAATAAGACCTTCTTATTCCTATGGAGGACCTAGAACTTCTTCTCAGTCACTCTTGTGGAGACCAAGTTCTTGCAACATAGCCATCTGTGACCCTCCCCTGTGCATTACCTGGCAATGATGATTCCAGGGTTTCCTGTGACCTGGCTGGTATCTTTTGTCTTGTGGGTCTGGCTAATTCTGTCATGGAATTAACAAATACTGCATGCATGCTTATCTGTGGACACAATGTATTGGACCCTATGGCCAAGGCACATGTCACACACACACATATACACACAATCATAAACACACATGGTTGTCATGTAGAGCAGCAGAATAGTGGTGCTGCCAGTTGGTCAATTGAGCTGAACATCAGAGTAAGAACTCAAGTATAGAGAATTCAGGATCAGAAAAGGCCTGATCCTGAGACAATACAGTTTATATTAAGGCAAAAAAAAAAGTGCACCTGCACAAAGAAGTGAAGGGGGAGTGTTGAAGGATATACTCTGATTTTGAAGGTCTGAATAATAATGGCATGTGCATTGGAATCCTTTTTATAGTTCTGCTCTTTCCCTAATAAGATTCGAATGCAGTTTATGCCATCCAGAAATTTCATGCACATATTTGCTGACTCAGTGAACATCAGGATAATTGCCCTCATCATTTTCGTCATTGCCCTGAATACCAAGTTCTCCATCCACAATCAATCAATCAACCATTCAGTCAAATTCTACAAACAGATATCTTTTTTGTGTCTAACCCTGGCTCCTGTCATCACCACTATTGTTACAACCTCCGTCCTCCTGTGTGTTGCAGGAATCACAGGACCGGGGATGCCACACAGTCTTCCAAACAAATACCACATCAAGCTCCAGAGAGTGCAGAACACAGTGTCAGGTGCTGCAAGAAAGAGATTCTTCCACAGCCTGGAGAGTATGAGGAGAGATAAGAGATTAATGTCAAAATAAATAAATGAAACTGAATTCCAGCATAATCCTGCAGTGCAAGAAGTACAATTTTACAGTATCAGTTAATAGCCAAACAAGAGACAGTTAGAAAAACCTTAGAAGTTAATGCAGTTCAATTAGAGAGATAGGAAATCCCTGTAGTTTGAAATGGATTTAAAGGAGAAAAACAGGGTGAATCTTGGGAAAAGGTCAACTTTCAGTAGATGACTGAGTAGAAACAGATGAGTCGTTCCTACGGCATGACCCAGGTGAGGAAGCAGAGACCAGGAAGGCTCTGATGAGATGTGAGTAAACCAATCTGAGAGAGATCTCATTCTAAGGAGTTATGGGGAGGAGCCGGGCCTGCAGAAGAGCTGTATATGGTAGATCTTGGAAAATAAGACCATGAATTTTACATTTTAGAAGATGACCACATTGCAGGCGTTTTGGTACGGGACAAGAACATCTACCACAGTAACTAAAAGCTGTCTTCCTCCAGGCCTGCAGGACATATAGGGACAGGACACATGGTGCATTTTATTCCATCATTATTCCAGTGAGTCTCTGTCCCATGCTATGAGGAAGGAATAAGTGAAACAATATTTATAATTCAACTTCCCTTAACTACAGTGGACTTCATAGACTGCATGGGATTTAGGGGAAGAGTTCAAAGACAAAAACACTGGTGAGCATACAGACTAGACGTTATTCCAAGTGTAGAAAAATGTTAGAAGCAAAACTGAATCTTGATATTGAGAACTGAACCAAAGGTAAAGCTGTCTGCACAGTGCCTTCTATGTTCTAGTCTTGTTTTTTGTTTTATTCTGTTAATATCAGAAGACATCACACCACCTGGGTAACACTCTGAAAACTGAACAAAAAGAAACATAACCCCCCAGGTCTTCTTCCTGCCATCTCTGGTAGCCACCATATCTGACCTCCACCATGCTTCAGCACGGCCACTTCTGACTAGACAAGCCACATCCAGGTGAGGCTGGTATGAGGAACCTGCTTTTCTGATACTGATTCACACAGGAATCTGAATCTCACCTGTTACTAGTCTGGAAAGAAGTTCAGAGTATTTTTATGGAGACGAAGTCAATATATGATGGCCGTGAGAACGAAACTCAGCATCCATGGTCAAAGCACGAGCAAGGACTCAGTACCCTAAAGAGCAGTGAGGAGGCAGGAGACAGCGGGTAGACTTACTAAGTATTTATAGAATCTCTCAGAGTCAAGGAAGAAAGCAAATGGCTATTCTTGACAGGCCTGATTAACTTACAAATAGGACTTCCCCAACAGCAAAATGCCCCTGCTTCCCCCAAGACAACACAAACCCAAACTTCTGTCCAAAATAAAATCTCCCCGTCCAGCAATCTCCATTCTAAATAGCCCCCTACCAGGAATCCCACCACAGAAAGCAGGAGATCTTTACTGGAGCTACTGACAGATTTCAGGGTGTGTCTACTCCTGGAATTATGTTTGCAAATGCCTATCGCAAGCACACTTATCACCTCATTAGGGAACTGCTCCTTGATGACAGTCTCTCTCTGAGTCTCTGCCATATAAAGCCATGTCTTCATACACTGATAGGCCATGGACTTTCCCTTCCAGGCACTTTTCCCAATGTGTAACAATGTCATTACTCGTCAGACATGTAATTCCTGACTCCCACAAGATTGCTGATTCCCCGAGGAGGAGGAGGCTGCACCTGTGAGTCCCCTGCATTACCCCTGACACAGGCATTGCCTTCATATGCATATTTTAAAGTATTAACTGAACCAATTATCAAAAATTTTACCCTTTAGATCATTCTGTATGAACATGCTTTTCTATTTTATAGAATGTCTTTTATAAAATCTTTATCAGTGCCTGGTGCCTTTAATCACAGCACTCTAGAGGCAGAGGCAGGTGGATCTCTGAGCTCAGGGTTAGCTTTATCTACCTGGTGAATTCCAAGCAAACCAGGACTACGTAGTGTGAACCTGTCAAATACGAACAAACAAACAAACAAAAAACAAAGCACTTTACCAGGGAGCTGTGGTGTTTGCTATTGTTGAAATGGGAACTGTAAGTAGACCTTCACAATACCAAGGAACTGGACAGCAGGGAAGGGTAGTAGACATCGCAATCAATCCTCACCCAGACCCCATCCAAACATCTGAGTTCCCATTGGTACAATCTGATTTTAGAAAAAAAAAAAAAAAATGAAGAAAGAGCCACATCTGGAAACTCCCAATTTTCTTACATTTTTTTTTCCCTTCAAAGGAATAAACTCTCTCTTGGATTCTTTATTTACCTCCACTAGCTGGCATTAAAATACTGCTTCGGTGAAGCTTTCTGTTAAAACCGCACCCACAAACAGCCTTCTAATGAATTCCAATCATGTGACCGTGCCAAAAATCCCTCTCCAGCAGTTTCTGACCGACCAGAACAGTTTTCCTCCCCCCCCCCCCACACACACACACATACACAGTGTTTCCCTGTTTGACAAGGGGACAAGTGGAAAACTGTGAGCAAAATGGTGACAAAAGATCAGAGTCAGGGGAAGTCTCTGCTGACGGCCAGAAAAGGTTCTTGTTGTGTTCTACCTTCTTCCTGCTGATGCAGCTACAGAAAGTAACCACATTAATTACGAGTTATCACAAGTGTTTCCAAACTGTGATGAGCGCTCTTTGTGTCATGTGTACACTGTGTGTTTCAACCCTCACAACTGTTAGAAGTAGGTACTCCACCCAGCACACCAGGAAACTGAGACACAAAGGTGTAGTTACACTTAGGATGCTTAGGATTAGGCATCACCACTTTTTTTTTTTTTTTTTTTTTGAAAAGAGGTTTTTCTGTGTGGCTCTGGAACTCGCTCTGTAGACCAGGCTGGCCTCGAACTCAGAGCCACCTGTCTCTGCCTCCCAAGTGCCAACACTGCCTGGCTCAAAGATTTGCACTTTTCAAAGTTAAAACACTAACAACACCAAAAACAAAAAACAAACAAAACCCCAGCAGGGGGTGGCACATGCCTTTTAACCAGCATTCCAGAGGCAGGCAGGCAGATCTCTGTGAGTTCACAGCCAGCCTGGTCTACAAAGCCAATTCCAGGACAGCCAGAGCTATTATACAGAGAAAACCTGTCTGGAAAAACAAAACAACAATGAGCAAACAAACCAAGAAAACCCACTCAGAATTATGTTTGTAATTTCCTATGAACCATTATTCCTCCTCGTGAGTTTTTTTCAAGTTATTATTAAAATCAAGAAAAAAAAATTTAAACTCCATGTGACAAAGGAAGAGCTGATTTCTACATGTAAGATAATGACAGTCCTATCATAATGAGTCATATAAATTGTAAACATATCATACATGTTTTTTTTTTCAACCTAACAGATTGATCAAAAATAAAGTGTGAGAATAAGCTGCTTTCTGGTGAGAAAGTAAATTGCTGCAAACCCCAGAAGGGTAATTTTTAGCAAAATTAGAAAGGTGCGTGCTATTTGATTAAACCCATTTCATAGAATTTAGTCTACGGTTAATGTGAGCACATGCAAGATGAGTGTGTGTGTGTGTGTGTGTGTGTGTGTGTGTGTGTGTGATGCCTGCATATGAGTATACAGGTGTACACACTCATGTGTTTGAATACAAAAGCCAGAGCAAGATATCATATCTACCTTTTTCATTGGCTCATCCTTGAGACAGTCTCTCACTAAACCAGAATCTCTCCCTTTTTCCTAGGCTGGCTTACCTTTTAGGCCTTTTAGGATCTACTGGTCTCCATTCCACAGTGCCATGGTTACTTGTATGCACAGCCATACCCAGGTGTTTTTTTTTTTTTTTAGTGGTGTTGCAAATTCAAATTTAGGTCCTCGGGCTTGCAGAGCAAATCCCTTATCTGATGACCCAGATCCTCGCCCCTATATTGCCAAAATATCAAAAGACAAGAAATAACTTTGACAACTGCTGTCAGGTGACTAGTTAAATCATGCTCCATCTACACCAAACAAACAAACAAAATGAAAAAGACTCCATTTGCACCCACCCAAGCAGACCTCTGAGATACACTGTGAAGTGGGGGAGAGCAAGGAGCTGAGCAGCAGACATATTACACAACCATTTGCATAGAAAGACACAGAGACACCACAGTGAATAAGGCATTTGGTTAGGAGTGTAGAATTACCGGTTTGTAAGTCAATGGACTGGTTCCTTATGGAGGTGTTAATACAGACAAATATTTCTAAAACCACAAACCTAAAACTGCTGAAAGTGCCCCCCAACACGGTAGTTAGAAGGGAGATTTTCCAAATACAATTGTCAATAGAGTTTGAGTTCTTAATCACGTCACTGTGTTTCACATAAAAAATGTTTAAATTCACTATGTAGTCCCACTGCCTTTAACACTGCAGTCCACAGCCCAGGCTCACTTAGTCGAATATACCCTAAAGCAGGGCAACTGTTTTTACTCAGGGGAGAGTGTAATCTCTCTCCATCAGGAATCTGGTTGTAAACTCATCTCTAAAATTTACGTATTGACGCCTTTTAACAAAAGTTCTTCTTTCCTAAAACACCAGAATTTATTGAATTCCAATGAATACACAAGCAGCGTCAGTTTCACCATTTTAATTCATCAAATATTGCTGTTTCCACATGGAAATCACAAATTCTGTTTTTCCAAACATAACTATAAATGTCAATTCAAATCACTCACCACACTTCACCCAATAGCAGAGAGAGAGAGAGAGAGAGAGAGAGAGAGAGAGAGAGAGAGAGAGAGAGAGAGAAGGGGGCAGAAAAAGATACAGAATGGCTACAAAGGGGTAAAAGAGGCTATAGGATTCAGAGAGGCCCTGCTAAGAGCAAGAGCAAAGAGCTCAAAGAGCTGGCATGGGCTATCAAGAGCTTTTCATTCTGTCTTACAAACACCCATGTTTAACCACGTATCTTTCCAAAATTACCTTTCAAAACATTTGTATAATAATTGGAGCAAGTTATTTTTAAAACAATATTTGGGACATTAATACAGTGTTTTTTTTAAATGGCATTTGAATATAAAATAAGTGAGATTCTTAAGTCTATTTTTTTTTAACAAAAAGATGATGTTTATTCAGTGCAGATGTGGGTTTGTAACATTTGCTTGAGGAAAGTAAAAAGGTTCCCTAAGACAGTTAGGAAAATGAGGCAATCACAATGGTCTTTTTTGAAAGGAATAATGAGCATGGGAAGCTGCAGAGAGGAGAAAACTTAAAGGCAGGAAAAGAGAAATATTACTGAGAAATGAAACAGAGTAGCAGCAAGAATTTCCCCCAGTAATCTTCACAAAACCAAAGCTGCAGTTTCCAAATTGGGCAAGAGACAAATAACCTCCATAGGGTGAAGAGTGATCAGGACTCCTAGCCCAGACCACTGCAGCCAGAGCCACCTGTCCTTTGGGGTTCTGGTACTGACTGTTACTCTGTCTTCTGCTTCCCACGCACATGGACATCCCAGTTCAGCTGAGACACAAACATCTTTTCTGTAACTCCCCAGTAGCTAGCTGAGATGAGGTGATCCAGTTGATCAAGACTTTTACCTAAAGAATTAATCAGTAATAAAGCAATACCAGACATAGAAGCAATAGAACACATTGTATTTCATACTTTAGGTCAATACTGGCTCTCCAGGATTCAGAATCTCCATTTTCATAATATCCCAAGTTAAGGAAGAATGCTCAGAGTCCCTGTATTTTCCTCTCCTCTTCCCCAAGGAGGGAAGTCCACAGTGTGACCCCCAAGTCTGCCTGTGAAGACATGTCCATGAAGGTGAGCTCACTTCCAAGGGAGGTTACCCTCACCTGAGTCTCTTCAAAGGGTCTGGATGAAGAGACCATGCTTTCTAGGCCACCCAGAAACCCCTGGCAAATAGGAGTAGCTGCCTGAATGTGCCTCGAAACCTGAGATTATTGGTGATGAGGATAAATGGATGTACAGACATGCACAAGTAAAGAATAATTTGCCAGGGCCAATACCACATGTTATCTGATGAGATGAAGACTGTGGCATCGATGACCATGGACACAAACGACAGTGCATAAAGAACCAGGAAGGAGATGAGTGACTTCAGAGCTCTGCTGTGAGCCTGGGTGCTGGGGTCCTGCAAGCTGTGGGCATTGTGCTGCATTCTCTGGGTATGTCTCCTGAGGGAATTAATCAACAGCAAAATTGAGACCAGAAAGAGAGAGCAAGGAATTGACATGGTGACAAGTTTCAGGGGCATAAAATAATCTAGTTCCAGCCTTCTGTTCCACTCTTTAAAGGTTGTGTTCCCAGAAATTTTCCTTCTTAAGAATGCCTGATACACAGCATGGTTTCCCCAAAAGAACAGCAGAGTTACGATGAAGGACACCAGGATGGAGCCCAGCAGGAGCCAAGGCACCAGTGCTGGGAGCCTCCACTTCAACCATAGGAAGGCAGGATGGGAGAAGTTAGCAATCTTGGTACAGAACAGGACGCTGAGCCAGGTGCCAAACCAGAATGTGGCTGAGTTCAAGAAGTCCCAGTGGAGACCAATGAGCTGCCGGGCAAGACCCTTGGAATACTCGACCAGGTAGAGGAAGTAGTAGAAACTGTTCACTAGCCCAACGCACTGCTGGCAGAATCTGGAGACACCCAAACTAAGGAGGATCATGTCCAAAGGGAGCAGCCTACCACGACGTAGCCATTCCCTGCTCAGTATCAGCACAATGAAGCCGTTGGCCAGGATCCCCAGGAGACAAAGCAAGACAAAGATCAACATGAAGAAAACTGTCAGTGCTGGTAGCATTTCAGCCCCTCCTCCAGTCACCGCTAGTTGCTGTGGCTCCTGGCCTCCTCCCTGCCCCTATCTACAGTCCCTCACACTCCCTTATAGAGACTGGAGATAAATAGTTGGGTTCTGCATCTGAGCAAGAACTTCAATGTGAAGGATGCTCAGGCAGTAGATCAAAGGTGTGCTCTGGGCTCAGATATGATGCAAATATCCCCTGGGCTTGGGTACCATGGGGCAACAGCTGCTCATGATTTGCCTTCTCTGATTTTGCCTACATCCTATCCTATCGTGCTTGGAATAGCACCAGTGGGGAGGGATTTTAGTCTTGGTAAGTTCCATCCTTATCCTATCATTGGACTATAGGACCATTCATCTTTCTATTAGGTGTAGATTGGTAGGTAAGTAGATAGATAGATAGATAGTAGATAGATATAGATAGATAGATAGATAGATAGATAGATAGATAGATAGATAGATAGATAGTAGGTAGATAGATAGATAGATAGATAGATAGATACATACATACATACATACATACATACATACATACATACCTAGATGCATAGATATCTAGTACAGGGGGTACCTAGCAAAATAGTGACACTAAAGAAGTCAGTCTTAGCTGAGTGTCCTTGCCACGTATCTACCCTCACTCATGAATAGCCACTCCTTCAAAGTCAATACCTCAGGTCTACCTTTCTACCCAAATCTCTACTTAAATTCCCTATGTTATAAGTAATTTATAACCATCTAAACCAAAAAGAATACACTTCCTTGTGGTTGCAGGACTGAGTGCATTTGTATCCTACTGGATATTGCTTAGAGTGCACTTGGGTCCTATAAAGACTGAGACAGAGGCTGTCCTCCATCTTTGCAAAATGAGCCGTTTAAAAATGGTCACTGACTTCATTAGACCAGCAGGGTGCGGTATGAGCAAGACATAAATAACACATTCTAGAATCTCAACAGATCTCCTTTGCCTGTTTTATTGACTAGACACCCACACCTCTGTTACAGGGTGGATTCCTTTGCCTAGAATCAAGACATGGCTCTTAGCAACTGGGAAAGTGAAGAATCCACAAAGTTCCAAAAGTCAGGGTTGGTGTTCATGAAGGCCACCTTAGATTTGTCTACCACGATGAGAGACCACAGCTTAGAAGGCACAAGTGAGCCCTTGTCTACCAACATCAACATTAGAGACAGCCCTACAGGACCACATTGAAAAGTAAAACTACTTTAACATGCCTATCATCTCAGGGAGTTACGTTTTTTTAATGACTTTTATGTGTGACAAAGACACATAAGACCTACTCTTTCAGCAAATTGCAAGTGTGTACTTCGGTATGACCAGCTGCTGTCACATGGTTGTACGTTTAGCCTCCAGGACTGGGTTGTTCAGCATAGCTGAAATTTTGTACCCCATGACCAACATCTCTCCACTCATCCTCACATCCTAGATCCCTGGCAACACCACTCTACTCTTGATATCTGCAAGTTCGGTTACTTTAGTTTCCACGTGTGAAGTTCTGCAGTGTTTATCTTTCTATGTCTAGAGTTCTTTGCTTAGTTTAATGTCTTCTACAGCATAATGCTCATTTGTGTTGTTCCAAATATGAGTATTTCTTTTTTAATTTAAGAGGACTTTATTTACTTTTGTATGTTCTTGAAGAAAACCATTCACATACATGCAAAAATTAGACAACTGATAGGGGACTTAGGTTTTACTTTACACATACTGATTTGTAGAGCAGACATAATTCTTCAGTTCAGTGGGACTTCCACATGATTACAGTCACAAAATTGTCACACTATATTAAAAGACAAAACTAAGTGGAGACAGACAAAATAGGAAGCTCTATGCCAACTTAGACCCAGGGTGTACTGCCTGTAATACAAGATCTTGGAAGTGTCTCCTATGAACTTACCAAAATAGAACCAGAGGTCAAAGGTCACAAACAGTGGCTTACAAAATAAAACCTCTTTTCCAAGAGCTACTGGTTTTATAGAAAAATATTACAAATAAAATTAATACTCTTTGAGGTGTTTATTCCAAAATCACATGTGGTGCACTG